CACCAACTAACTGCCTGAAGGCCATGCTGGAAAGCGAAGAGAAGTGGAAAATAATGGAGACCCTCATTAGAGATGTAATAGGGAGAAAAGAGAGGGAGGAGAGAGAGGGAATCCCATAAGGAAATAGGAAGAGGAAGCGTAGGGGGGCTTTCCCAATAAAGCCCCCCCACTCAGGTAAAATAAGGTAAACAAATATCATTTTAAAAAAATTTAAACTTTTTTTCTGTCTTGAGTATCATGAGTATCCCGAGGGAGACGACAGAGTAAACCGAACGAACGGTGAGCAGATGGACCCGAAGAAAGGAGAGGCAGACGCTGTATCAACTTACGAGGGATAGGGAAGAGGGGTCAAATAGAGGAAAGGAAGAAAGTCAAAAGATGTCTAAAGTGCTGGTCACCGCAACATTTAGCCAAAGACTGTGAAGGCCAAGATAGGAATAAGTGGTGTTATAACTGCGGACAGGAAGGACATCACGCAGATAAATGCGGCAATCCAACAAGATGCCCGGATTGTAAAGTTGAGGGACACAGAGCTGGAGGGACAAGGTGTCCGAAATATAGAGACAAACTAAAACAGGTAGAAAAAGTAACAAAACAAGAAAGACAAGAAAGAACAGATCTGGGCGAACGGCGAAGGCAGGAGATATGTGAGGGAGAACAGAAGAAAGAAACGGAGATTGAAGGACTACGGGAAGCACAACTGGTCAATATAGAAGAAGAAATAATAGAAATATCGACACCAAGCCCAGAAGCAGTACTCACTGAAAGTAGTACCAAGAACCGAGGTGGAGGTAGCACAACATCAAAATGCAACTAAAACTAAAGATAATGCAACTTAATTGTAATAGAAGATGGGAGTGTCACGATTTGATTGATAGAGAGAGAAGGAACGGGAACATTCAAATAGTGCTAGGACAGGAACCTAACATAAGAAAGGCCGATGATCTACAAACTGACAAGGGTAATGATTGTTTCATAGGCATTGATAAAAAGGCAGGAAGACCAATAAGATGGTATCTGTTTGAGGGATATGTTGGGGTGGAAATGCAATACTGTGTTCTTTTCTCTGCTTATTTTTCCCCAAATCGGATCTTGAATTATTGTTGGACAGCTTAGAGGTTATAATGGGGCAGATAAGTAAGCCGGTTATCATCGGAGGAGATTTTAATGCCCGAACTCCAATGGCAGGCGATTGGAAGCTGAATAAACGTGGGGAGCTGCTTGAGGAATGGGTAATAAAGAATAAAATGACGATAGTAAACGATGGAAACACACCCACATATAGAGGCCCCCGAGGAACATCTGTTGCAGACCTGACAATAACAAGAGAAACGAACATAGCGCACATAACCAACTGGAGAGTGGCAGAAGATAAGGAGATGCTTAGCGATCACCTTGCTGTCTTGTATGAGTTTAGAACATTTAGAGAGGCGCGACCGATGAACCAAACGATGGGATGGAAGTACACGTTAGAGTCATTAAAGAGATTAGAGGTAAACTTCCTCAAAGAGGTTAAAAAGATAAGAAGCCCGGACCCCAAGATACTCGTCGAAGCAATAACATCTGCGTGTGACAAATCCTTGAGAAAGAGAAAACCCCAAAGTCTTAGGACCCCGGTATACTGGTGGACAAAGGAAATAGGTGAAGCGAGAAAAGCATGTGTGACAAAGCGAAGAGTGTTACAAAGAAATAAGAAAAGACAACAAAAACCAGAGCGAATAGAACAACTTCTCATGGACTATACACAGGCAAAACAGTTCTTGAAGAAGCTAATTAATGAATCCAAGGAGAAGAAGTGGAAAGAACTCTGTTTGGAGCTCGAGGACAACGTATGGGGGACAGCTTATCAGGTGGTTACCAAAAGACTCGGAGCAAGAAAACGGGAAGAGATAGATTACAAGACAGCGGAAGAACAATTTGAGAAACTGTTTCCACAAGTCGAGGAAGAGCAGGAGAGAGAGCAAGAACTGGAAGAGCAGGAGAAGGAACAACTTACCAGCTTATTCACCATCGAAGAACTAGAGCAGAGCAACAAGCAACTTAAGTTAAGAAAAGCTCCTGGAGAAGACGGAATTACAAATGAAATTCTGCAGACCTGCGTAAAATCAAAACCCAGTGTCTTTCTTGACGTCTACAATAAATGCCTAGCAGAAGGAAAATTTCCTGAAATCTGGAAGAAAGCGGTACTAGTGCTGGTACCTAAACCTGCAAAACCCAATCAAGAAAAGTCGTACAGACCTCTTTGTATGCTTAGCGCAGTGGGCAAGCTCCTTGAACGCCTGATAAACAATAGATTAGTAGCAGAGCTGGAAGAAAGAGAAGCCATCAACAACAACCAGTATGGATACAGAAAGGGGAGAAGTACCGTAGATGCAGTAATGACTATAGTTAAAGAAGCAAGAGCAAGAAAATTAGTGACATATGCCCATAGAGGATACAGAATTATGGTGCTTCTTGATATAAAAAACGCTTTTTGGAAAGATGGCAAGTGTATAAAGGGTGGGCCAGTACGTTTATTAGCGACGTCCGGGTATGGAAGGACTCCACGGTGAACACGGAGATGTGAACATGGAAGATAGAATCAGATCTCTGCTGGTTTGGGTGCAATGAAGCCGATACACCGAGGCATACCGTCTTCGAATGTAAAAAATGGTATAATTGAAGAATAGACATGTCGCTTAAAAATCGCCAATTTTTTTTTACCGGTGCGAAATCGCTCAAATAAGCCGTTAAAAATAAAAAAAAAGTGCGGAAAAGTGAAAAACCTACCGAAAAATAAGTTTGAAATTTCGATGTGACGTCACGTTTTGTGACGTCACGAACCTTCCTTACGACGTATTTTTCACAACACAATGGTTAAAATTGGTCCGATAAATAATTTGTTCCATATCCACGTGCACAACACGAATAATGTAAGTAAAACTAAATCATTTTCTCAAATTTAATGATAGAATTAACAACTTGTTAGTATTATCGTATTTTCGAGTGATATACCTGCTCGTGAGGATTAGGTATGGAGAAGGGTGTGGGGCAAATATTGGTATAGTCTTGTTAAAAAAAAAACGTTACGTTGGGATCCACCTAATATACTGATTTATTTCCGAATTTTGTGTAGAAATTAGATTTTGAATTAGATTAATTTTCGTTTAAATTAGTGAGAATTTCCCAAATGTCGGATTAGATATGGGGAAGGGTGTGGGTCAAATATTGGTATGGTCTTATTGAAAAAAAAGTGTTACATTCGGATCTACCTAAATTACTGATTTATTTCCGAATTTTGTGTAGATATTAGATTTTGAGTTAGGTTAATTAACATTTAAACAACTGCGAAATTCCGAAATGTCGGGTCGGGTTCGGAGTAGGGGGAGGGTAAACACACGAGCAGGCAGATGGTTAATAAACGCGTTTTAGCACGTTTTAGTTGTTATGCGTCGAAAACCAAAGATGTTTCACCCGAAAGTATTCGTACATTATTCGTGTTGTGCACGTGGATATGGAACAAATTATTTATCGGCCCAATTTTAACCATTGTGTTGTGAAATATACGTCGTAAGCATGGTTCGTGACGTCACAAATTGTGACGTCACGTCGAAATTTCAAACTCATTTTTTGGTAAGTTCTTCACTTTTCCGCACTTTCTTTTTATTTTTAACGTGTTTTTTAGGCATTTTTACGTCGGTAAAAAAAAAATCTTCGATTTTTAAGCGACATGTGTATTCTTCAATTTCTCCTAAAAATTTTCGAGAAGATAGGAGAATTGCGGAGGAACTTATGGGGGAAGAGATCAATGAAGAAAATATCTCCGTTTTGATAGTGCGTGGAAAGGGGGAAGGAGAGATAATTATGAACCTTCTGCAATCCATAATGAGGAAGAAAGAAGCTGAAGAGCGACGAAGGGTGTTTGGAGGTGAGGAGAGGTGACAACAATAAGGTGACAGGAGGGATGGGTGGAAGAACAAATGAGGGGGCGTCTGCCCCCTCATTTGTTCTTCAACAAACTAAAAAAGATGTTAAAAAATTAAACGATTACTATGTTTTGAACTGGGAGACCATTGGCGATGGACGAGAGCTGTGGGGCAATGTTCTGAGGTCAAACTTTTGGGAAGTCATAACTTAACATCTTCAGCAGGGGTAAAAGGGTAACGGAAAGGACAGGTAGAAGAGGAGATGAGGGGGCCCCCGCCCCCTCACCCAGGTACGAATGAAACAGTTAACATCTTACAAAATTAATAGATTATTATGTTGTGAGCTGGGAGACCAATGACTATGGACGAAAGGCTTGAGCGTGAGGATAGAAAAGAACAGTAGTGGAATAGAATATGAAAAGAGAAAGGGAAATGAAGAAGAGGCAGAGAGAGTTGGAGTAAAGTAAAGTATTTAACATCTGTATTCGCAGACGGCCTGAAGAAATGCGCAAGCGATACCGGACCGTCATAACCAATAGAAATGCGAAGAAAAGAGGGGGAGTTTTTAGTGCGGTAGTCCTGGTCAACAACACCTAGGCCAGGAGAGTCCCACACTCCCGATCGGATAATTTCTCCAGGCGCTATATCCGGTCGGGGCTCAGTCATAAAGATTTTCTCCTCCTCTGCGCCAAAAAAAAAAAAAAAGGGTTAGGTTGGGTTTCCCGCAGGGGCCTAGGACGATCCTGGGTACGGGTGTAGCGAGCCCACGGTACCTGAGCCGGAGGAGCATACCTCCTAAAAAAACTGGGGTCCATCTGGCCCGGATGGTAGTACCCCACAAGGGCACCCGCCTGGGTTTACAGGTGGAGGAGCACACCGCCTAAAAAAAGCTGGGGTCGCGTGGTCCCGGGCGACAATGCCCCATGTAATGCCCCTGCCCGGTTGCAGGGAGCACGGGATAGTGTTTCAGTGTCTCAGTGTTAGTGAGTGTCTGCGTGAAGTTGCTGTAAGTGTATGCTTGCGATATGTTCGTGAGGAATCCCTGCCAGATAGGGTTAAAATGGAGGGTAAGGAAGGCCCTTTGACAGCTCCATAATGGTTTTAATGGATATGCCAAAAGAAGCCTCGGGTGGGTGCACTGGACAAACAGGGCCGTGCACCACTCGCGGAGAAAGGTCGCCTCAGCGAGATTATGAAGACCGCATTATACAGGGCTCTGCTAGCCAGAGCATAGAAAAGTACGTTTTTAAACGAAGTACTTTGGTAGGCAGATCACCATCTAAAACATCTACCGACGAAAAAGAAGAAACGAGTGAGTCAGTAAGTGAGGAAAGTGAAATCAGTAAGTCAGTAAGTGAAATGAATACAACGATAATAGAAATAGAAGGGGATGAAGATGAAGGAAATCTAGAGAACAGTACTCCGAGAAACATGAGAACGTGGTCCTTTGAAAGTATAGCGAAAAGTGAAAGAGGATCTAGAGATGATGGAATTGAGAAGGAAGAAAGAGAGAGACAGAAGCAAGAAGAAGAAAGAAAGGAGAAAATAGAGCAAGGGCAGAAAATGAAACACGAGGTGACTAAGTTATCACAATTGATAAAAGTGTTTAGAGGTAATATTGAAAATAACACCAAGAAGGAATTGAAGAGAGCAGTAAATGTTTTGGAAAGAATAGGAGCAGAATTTGAAAAACCAAAAATGAAGAAATGGTTGGAAGAAAGTGCGATAGAACCGAAGAATGACGAGGAAAAGAAAATAGAGGCAAGGAATCGTGAAGGAAAGGAAAATGTAAAGAGAATAGAAAAAGACGTGGCAACGCAAGGTACACAGACAGAATCGATTAGTGAAGAACAGTTAAATGAAGAATGCCTCGATGATGAACTGTTAAAGAAAGTTAGTACCTACGAAGAGTGGAACGAAGTGAAAGAATGGAAGTGGGAGGAGAGATGCTACAAAAAAACAAAAATTGTCAGGTTAAACCCAGCTTGGCAAAAGCCTGAAGAAAACAGGATAAAGGTGGTAATAGTGGAGAATGGTGATGAACAAATGGAAAAAGGCGTACAATATTTGTATAAAAGGAAGTAACCGGAGCTAGCGGAGATAAGTGGCATGTATGGTGAAATTGAAACGACTATCAGAACGAGAGTTAATGGAAAGGAGAGACAGAGTGGAGAGAAGATAATTAACACTTTGCCGTCCGCACGTTTCGCAAAAATTTATTCGCTCGGTGCCGGCAGAATATTCAGATTACTTATCCGTGCAAAAAGTCAAGGCCCTTCACTTTAGAGATCGATATCTTCGCAACCGATCGATGAAAAAAATTGCGACAAAGTTTGTTGTAATCACTGAACATTCCTACGTAACCTATATTAATTTGAAAATTTTCGGATCCGCGGTTTTGTTTTTATCGCGAGTTAAATGAAAAAAGTACCCGATTTTTGAGTGTGCCGGCAACTTTGTCAACTTTGCGATTTTTTTTCTCGAAAACTATTTGACGAAAAAATTTCAAATTTGAGCTGGTGGTAAACCGATGTGTTCTTAACGTGGTGCATATCTTATTTTTTCGATATTCCATATAGTTTCGCGGAAAATCGCGGTTTAGTAGGATGCGGTTATTTCGGAAACGACCTGGCGGATTTCAACGCGGTTTCTACCAAAATATATCAAATCATGTCGGTTGTCGAATTCCGTTATCAGTTTTTCAAAATTAGGGCCCCCTATTTTGTTAAGGACGGTTTAATGGAATTACAAATTAAAGAATTCAAATTAACATATGTTACGTAGAAATGTTCAGTGATTACAACAAACTTTGTCTCAATTTTTTTCATCGATCGCTTGCGAAGATATCGATCTCTAAAGTGAGGGGCCTTGACTTTTTGCACGGATAGTAGATCCATACGTAAGCGGGCGACACCAATGTGGTGACGCCGGCCGTTGAGCGATATTTTTCGCGCGACACCACTGTGGTGTCGCCGGACGGCATAGTGTTAAGGTGAAAATGGTAAATGAGAGGGAAGGATTGTGGAAGGCCCTAACAGTCATAAAAGAAAAGATAAAATCTGGAAAGATAATAGCGATACATTGTCTTAAAGAGTATCCGGTGAATGAAATGAGAAAGATGGCGGAGGTTATATTCAAAGACCAGGAAACGGTAATTGAAACATATACCACTTTGACCAAAATGGAAGAAGATGAAAAAATTCGTAAAGAACGTGATGGTAGATCGGGAGTACAGAGGAAAACTTATGTGCTCATAGTGGAAACTCAAGGAAAAACGTTTGAAGAAAAAGTAAGTGAAATAAAAGGGCAAGTAAAAGGAGCACAAGAAGCCACAATAATTGAGGGAATTAAAAGAACAAGAGATGGGAAAGTCCTAGTTATCACCAGGAGGGACAGAGGCAATACGAGTAGGATTGAAAAGATGCTGAGACGGAAAAAGGACAGAGAGTAACCTCAAGAGGACTAAGGGAGGAAGAAAGAAAAATATATATTACGATAAAGGGGATGGAAATTTCTACTACGATGGAGGAAATAAGAGAAGCGATAAAAGAGAGAATTGGTGAAGAAGGAGAACATATGCAGAAAGCATGAAGGCGGTAACAGTACAAGTAAACAACAAGAGAAATGCAGAAAGGTTAACGAAGGAAGGCAAAATCAGAGTGGGATTGGCGATTTGTCGAGTAGAAAGAAGAGAAGAAATAAGGAAGTGTATTTTGTGTTGGTCCCCGTTACACATAGCAAAACATTGTGACAACCCAAACAGAAAAGGTTGCTGTTATAATTGTGGAGAGGAAGGGCACCAGACAAAACAATGTCCAAACAAAGAGAGATGCCCCGATTGTGAAAAAGAGGGACACAGAGCCGGCACAGGAAAGTGTCCGATTTACAGAAGGTTGTTACAGAGAGCAAGAAACGTTAGAGAGGCCAGAGGAAAGGAGAAAAAGATCGAAAATGAACGAAGGAAGGGTGAAATTATGAATGACTATGGAGAAGGAGAAGAAGGGAAAGAAATTCAGGATGGTGGACACGCGGAAGTTATTGGTGATAAAAAAAGGAAGAAACCAGGAAGTGAAGGTGGGGAGCACAGCAAGACAGAGTCGTCTTCGGATAAGGAAGACGGGAATAGGGAAGAATGGAAAATGCAGAGAATGAGGGTAAAGAAGAAATGAAAAAAGAAAGGAGATCAAGAACAAAAAATAACAAATTCCGATAAGGAAGAACCAACCCAGGGTCAAACTGATAATCAATCAGAGACCTCCCCAAAAAATTCGTCCAAATGCCAAGTATAAAGATAATGCAGCTCAATTGCGGCAGGAGGTGGGAAGCTCACGACCTTCTGGAAGCAGAAGTGAAGCGAAAGGAAGTTGATATAGTGCTAGGACAAGAACCGAATAAAAGAAGAGCGACAAAGCTAAGAACAGATAGTAGAGAAGATGTATTTATACAAATTTTTGGAAATTCGATCAATCCAGAAAAATGGGTGGAGGGTGAGTGTTTTGTGGGAGTTGATTTGGGGAGCCTCGTACTCTGGTCGGTCTACTTTTCTCCGAATAGACCTGATAAGGACTTTGAAGAGGTGTTGGACAATTTAGAGTCGGAAATGAGAAGGCGAAGTAAACCGGTGGTAATTGGCGGAGACCTCAATGCCAGAACAAAAATGGTGGGAGACATTAAGTACAACAAAAGAGGACAGATATTGGAGGAGTGGATAGTGAAGAACAGGCTAATAATTGCGAACAAACCTGGTATAACGACATTCAGAGGCCTAAGAGGTTCATCTATAATAGACCGTACACTTGTCACAGAAAATGCTACGAATGCGATAGAAAACTGGGAAGTAAGAGAAGAGACTGAAGTTCTGAGCGACCATGAACTAATATCGTTCTCCATTAAAACGGAAAGAAATAAGAAAGATCAATCGCTGGGGAAAAGTGCAGCGCAACCACATGGCTGGCACGTAAATAATGTGTCGTTGAAAAGGTACGCTGAGATATGCAGCGGACTTTTTGAGGAGGATGAAGAGATTGCCCCGGAAATGATGAGTCAAAAGATCAAAGATAGGTGTGATTCTGTTTTGAAGAAGAAAGGTGTTGGAAAGTATGGCAAAACACCGGTCTACTGGTGGAATACTGAAATAGCGTGTAAACGACATAAGTGCATTAAACTGAGGAGAATGGTAACAAGAATGCGGAAGAGAAGCGATGCGGTAAATGGGGAGGAATGCAAGAATAACTACAGAGAAGCAAAGAGAGAACTGAAACTGGAAATCAAGAGAAGTAAGGAACAAAAATGGAAAGAACTTATATCAGATTTGAACGATAATGTATGGGGCAAAACGTACTGGATCGTAACGAGACGTTTAGGCCTGCGGAGAGGAAAACAGATTGAAGAAGCAGAAATAGATAAACAGATTGACAAACTGTTTCCAAAGCACAACATAGTGGTGTGGGATGCTATGGACGAGGTAAACCTCGAAGACATTCCTGATGTCACCAAAGAAGAGGTTATCGAAGCTGTGAGTAAGGTAAACAAACGCAGAGCCCCCGGCCCCGACGGTATCAGTCCGGAGATACTCATCGCTACGGTACAGGGCAACTTGCAAGCTTTTGTTAAAATGTACGGAGAATGTCTAAGAAGCAGTACATTTCCAAGTATATGGAAGACCGCTAAATTGGTACTGATTGAGAAACCAAAAAAACCTGCAGAGAATAAGTCCACTTTTAGACCGCTTTGTATGTGTGATACTATGGGTAAGCTTCTGGAAATCATCGTAAGAACCAGATTGCACAAAGAAATAGAAGAGAAAGATCTACTTCATGGAGAACAGTATGGCTTTCGAAAAGGAAGATCCACAATACAGGCCATACAGAAGGTGCAGGATATAGTAGAAGATATAAAAAAGAGAAGTTACACGCATAGAGAGTGCTGTGTACTAATATTAATCGATATTGAGAATGCTTTCAACTCGGCCCCGTGGCGGGAACTGGTGGAGGCTTTGCGAAAAGGTAAAATTAGTGAGTACCTGATCCGTATAGTGCAGAGTTACATGTCGGATCGTAAAATAGTGACGCCTGGAGGAAAGACATTACCNTCAGAGGCCTAAGAGGTTCATCTATAATAGACCTTACAATTGTCACAGAAAATGCTACGAATGCGATAGAAAACTGGGAAGTAAGAGAAGAGACTGAAGTTCTGAGCGACCATGAACTAATATCGTTCTCCATTAAAACGGAAAGAAATAAGAAAGATGAATCGCTGGGGAAAAGTATACCAAGGGAAGAGGAGAGAGGTTGGAATGTGACGATGAATAGAGTCGAATTGTTAAAGAAAAACTTTTTAATGCAATATAACGAGACAACTACCCCAGAAGAACTAGTAAGGAAAATCTCTGATGCATGCGACGGGACGTTCAAAAGAAAGTCAAATAAAAATGGACTTGGAGAACCCAAATACTGGTGGACGAAGGAAATAGAGCAGGCGAGAAGAGAATGCGTAAGAAGACGTAGACAAATGCAGAGAGGAAACAAAAAGAGGGGAGAGGATGTCGCGGGAAATGATGCAAAGGAAAGGTACAAAGAAGCAAAAAGGAAATTAACAATTATGATTAAAAGATCGAAAGAGAGAAAATGGAAAGATCTATGCGATGAGCTTGAGCAAGACGTTTGGGTTGGGTTTGGTTGGGTTTCCCGCAGGGGCCCAGTTGACACTGGGTACGGGTGTAGCAAGCCCGCGGTACCTTAGCTGGAGGAGCATACCTCGTTAAAAAACTGGGGTCCATCTGGCCCGGATGGTAGCACCCCATAAGGGCTCCCACCTGGGATGCAGGTGAATACTTTGGAAACACCGGTACGGACCCGGAAAGATTTTGTGATGTCCTCATCTGTGTGAATCCTGCCAGTAGGTATAAAATGGAGCTCAAGAAAGACGCTAGACACCTCCATAAATCGAAATAAAAGGCTTAAAATGGCCCAAAACGATTATTTATTCATTTAAATAAGTGCTACACGTTTCGCCCCTTCTAGAGGCTTCGACAGGCACGACTACGAAAGAAAAATCATATAAGTAGTAGAAAGTGAACTTAGAGCTAGGTCTTAAATCTAATGTTGAAGCAGTGAAGAAACACGTTTTGTTTTCAACATGTTCTCGTTTGATTATTATGATTGTATGTTATCGAAATTTCAATGTATGCGGCAGAGTTGTTATTATTTGTAAGCCTATCTGTTCCGCAAAAGCACCGAGAAAAATTACCCAATCAAAGTTCTAATTAGATTTTATTCTTTTTCCACAATACCATTTATCAAATGTCAAAATTGTAAAAACTCGTTGAAGTTGTCAATATGAAGGTTTATATCTATTCTAAAAAGTAAATTTGAAGAGAATCGAAGAATTAAAATTAAGTTGAAGCAAGTATAATGCAATCGGTAGTAGTATTTTTTCTATATATGTCAAAATTGATTTTCCCTTCGTCATAGTTTTTAATGAGTGTAAGATCTAAAAAATTAATACAATCGTCGACCTCTCTCTCCATGGTGAACTCTAGGTTGTTTATTGAATTAAAGATATTAAAGAGTGCAACAAGCCTGGCTAGGTTTCCTTTGAAGACTATAAAGATGTCATCCACGTACGTCCTGTAGAACATGATGTCTTGGGTGCAGTTCATGAATTTGTTCGAGAATATTTTATTTTCCAGGTCATTAACGTATATATCTGCCATGATACCAGAGATGGGCGAGCCCATCGGTAGACCATCCGACATGGTAAAAAGTTTGTTGTTAAAAATGAAAAAGTTTTGTTTACATACAAATTCTAAAAGGGCGCATAATTCCTCTATGTTTTTGTCGTTGACATCACCATAGTCAGTTTTGTGACGTTGTAAATGTTTTTTGATAATTTTAATGGTTTTATTAATGGGAACATTAGTGTATAGATTTTTGATATCAAATGACACGAGAGAGGTAGTTTTATCAATTTTGATATCTTTAACATCACGAATGAGTTCGTTGGAATTTTTAAGTCTATGTTTCATGAAGGGGTCGAATGTTTTGTAGAGAAATTTTTGTAATACCTTAGCCATTCTTTCTGTGGTTGTGTTTCTGTTACTGATGATAGGTCTAATTGATTTGTCTGCCTTGTGCAATTTAATGAGACACTTAAGAGTGGGAGGTAACGGGTTCATATATATGCAGTTTGGTTATAGAAAAGGCAGATCCACGATGGACGCCATAGTGAAGGTACAGGAAATTGTGGAAAATATTAAGAAGAAGTCTCTAACACACAGAGAAGTATGCGCAATGGTGCTAATTGACATCAAGAATGCTTTTAATTCTGCCCCATGGAGCGGGGTAATAAAAGCCATAGAGAAGGGAGGAGTCAGTCAGTATCTGGTCAGAATCGTAAAGAGCTACCTGTCGAATAGAAGCATAACGGCGTCAAACGGAAAGAGATACAGGGTCACGTGTGGAGTGCCGCAGGGGTCCCTATTGGGACCGCTGCTATGGAACCTATTTTACGATAAGATTTTAAGAACAGACTTTGAATACGGCGTGGAATTAATAGCGTACGCGGACGACCTTGCTCTCGTCGTAAAAGCCAAAGACCCCTCACAATGCATGTTCTTTTATTTTGTTTTGCCACGAGGGAAAGAAAAATCGGGGAAGAAACGCAACCAGAAATCAAGGTACGGCTATAGAGTAAGTCGAGGAAGAGAAGAGGAGCAAAATGAGGGGGATCACTCCCCCTCATCCAGGTACGAAACTATTTAATGAATTATACAAAAAGTAATGTATGTCATTTTATGTTTTTGTCTTGCCACAAAATGAGCAAGAAAGAAGAATCGACTGCAAGAAGGAAGAGCAGTGAGCCGAGAGAATGTCTCCCATTTTCGGACAGGAAGATGGACAAGGAAATAAAAACGAAGAGATCAATCAAAGAGATAGAAGAGAGAAGAGAGCGGGGGAGAAAGAAGAAGGGGTATTCGAACCAACAGGGATAGAAGAGGAGTATGGATGGAAGAAAGAAGGTAAGAAGAAAGAAGGAAGCAATTCCAAACGAGGCAAGGTACCCCGAAGAAATGCCCTGACGGGCGGTTCCGGGAAGAGAGGGGGAAGGGTTTTAGACGGTCGAGGTTCTATCCCAACCCGTCACTATCTGGCCGTTTTAGAACCATAGG